AAATCTGACAACAATTGGGGCAGACCCTCACATGTGACTTTAACCTCTCCTAGCTGATACACTAAACGTACAGTCTTCAATTATCTTTGATTAGTGGGAAGCAGGAGTAACATGATAGAGGAGAAGCAAGTTATCTCTTTTCCCAAATTATGAGATTTATATATTTAAAAAAATTTTTTTTTTTTTGTGAGGAAGATCAGCCCTGAGCTAACATCCATGCTAATCCTCCTCTTTTTTTGCTGAGGAGGACTGGCCCTGAGCTAACATCCGTGCCCATCTTCCTCCACTTTATATGGGACACTGCGACAGCATGGCCTGACAAGTGGTGCATCGGTGCGCGCCCAGGATCTGAACCCAGGCTGCCAGCAGCCAAGCGCCTGTACTTAACCGCTACGCCACAGGGCCGGCCCATATTTTTAAATAATTCTTAAAAAAATCTTCCAACTATTCTCCAAATACTTGCCTCAGGTAAGTAATTGATTTACCAAGATAAGATGATCCGTATGAAAATCCTCTAGCTTTGTTTCAAATGTTTACTAACTTTTCTTCCCTTCCTATCAAGGTGACTTCATTTATTTAAAAGGATTCAAATCTAGCACTCACAATGCTGTCCAGTAATACGCTGGGATTGTTCAGTGGATGCTAAAATGTAAGTTCGACACAGTGTGAAATAAGATAATTAGGTACTGAAATCCTTGCTACCCAATTAAGAGATGTAGATTTTTATAAAGACTCTAAGAAATACTACTCACTAAGAAGCTTTTGACGACCAAAAAAACATATATCAGTTTTACCAGTCAAGAAAAACTAAGGTCCCAAGAAATACAACAATTTATCAAAAAGCCTCTATTAGACTCATGCTTAACTGGAGAGACACCCAATGGTACAGATTCCAGTTCTAAGTTACATTGACTATAATCATATTCTCATATAAAATAAAAAATAGTCAACCTTTGGTCAAATACAAATTATACTCAAGAAATGTCCTGCTGTGTTCATCCATCTTTCCTCTGTACTGCTTCTGCAATTGTGTTCAACCTTCATCTGTGTGGACAGCACACTGTACTGAAACTGTTTCATCTCTACCAATGTCATGCCCACAAGACAAGAAACCACTGAGCTACCTGGGGATAGGAACTCACCTCATTCATTTATTAAGCACCTGTACATAGAATGTACCAACATTAACATGGCAGGTCCTCAACAGATGGCCATTTATGGGACCTAAAAAGTAATCTACTTGACACACAGCATTTCCTCTATGCTACATCTTACAGCACTGCTAACAACTGAAATTAAGATTAGATGATTTAGACTAATTTGCATCACTACAAGTCACATTTCTAGAGGGCACACTTGGTTTCTCCTAACAAATGCTTCCTCTTTAGAAAATTCCTCAAGCTCCTCAAACAGAAAACTTACCAAAAAAAAAAAATAAAACCTTCCATTTGCAAGGCCATAAAAATATGCAGGAAGTTTAATCCATTGGTCTGGACAAAAATCAGATTATCAACAAGGGGCATTTCCTCATGCTTGGCAGCAGCTAGTGCATTTAAAAAATTACAACACACCAGCCAAACAAGCTTTACTATCTCTGAACCAGACACGCTGTGTGGCTAAGCTGACATGCCCTGAACGAGCTGATCAAGAATCACCATGGCAAGAATTTAAATGAAAGTAAAATTAAAACAAATGGGAACTAGCATTAAACTTCCAATGGACAATAAAACTTCAGTGGGGAAGGGGACAAGTGGAGGGATGTGAATATTTTCCAAGACCCTCTATATCTAAAACTGGGACAAGAAATGTGAGGGAAAGAGAAGGTGTTTATTTCTCAATCACATGAAGGATTTGCTACAAGTTTTGTTTCTGCTCTGCTGGGTCCTTTCTTGTCCGGTGGAAGAAACAAATCCACTTTTCAATGCTAGGTGTTGGTTTGCTCAAGTCTTACCTAGAAGAAGGATATCTTTTAACACGCTTTCTGGACACACATCAGCCTATTTAAAATACGCCAAATGACCTTAAAAAAACGCAATTGCCACTTGCTCTTACAACTCCTCAAATCAGCTGGCATCAAATGGAGTTAGGAGTGGAAAGGATCAATAAGGGCCCCAGAGAGATGCTAAACAGCAAGGGAGACCCACAGAAGACCTACCTGGAAACAATTCATCATCAAGTGAAGAATCTAAAGAGAGGTCCAATGAAAATTTACACCTGATCAGGTGAAAAGACAGCAGTCTCCTCATCACCAAGTCTTTTCACGTGGGAAGTGAGACTGGAAGGGACAGGGTGACCTGAGCAGCCTTTTATAAGGGGCGGGGTTAAGAATTCCCACCCCAGCCTTTGTGTACTGCCATTCAGCTTGGTTTGCATGAATGAACATGTGGGTTGTTTGTATCAGTGGCTATTTCCATCAGGTCCAAGAAGGCATAATCTCCACTGTCCTTTAAACAACTGAAGGTGACATAATAATGAGAAAGATGATAATGATAGCTAACACTCACTGAATACTTGCTATGTGCTAGACTCAGTAACTCACTTAAGACAACAGTCCTATCAGGTAGGAACCATTATCATCCCCTTTTTATAGATAAGTAAAGCAAGACAGAGAGAAACCTGTTCAAGGACAAAAAGCTAGTATAGGGGGCCGGCCTGGTGGTGTAGTGGTTAAGTTCGCATGCACCGCTTTAGAGGCCCTGGGTTCGCAGGTTCAGATCCCAGGCACGGACCTACTCACCGCTTCTTAAGCCATGCTGTGGCAGGCGTCCTACATATAAAGTAGAGGAGGATGGGCATGGATGTTAGCCCAGGGCCAACCTTCCTCAGCAAAAAGAGTTGGATTGACAATAGATGTTAGTTCAGGGCTAATCTTCCTCACCAAAAAAATAAATAAATAAATAAAATACACTTTAAAAAAAAAAAAAAAAAAGCTAGTATATGCCAGAACCAGCACTTGAATCCAGGAAGTCTGACACTAGAGCCCAAACTCACACAGTGTCCAAATAGGAACGTAAAACTCTCCACTTACGAATGACTAGTTCCTCACCTCACCTGGGTGATGATCCTAAATTTGGTACCTTTTTAGGGACTCCATACGAGATGTCAACTCTCCAGACACAGTACTGGCCTGCTCCTCTCACGTCCTCCCTGCAGCCTGCCTCCCTGGCTGAGTTGTACTGGAAACAGGTTGTGACATCCTGGCCAGGTATGCCAAGAAGCCCCAGCTGCACTGAGGGCAAAAAAAAAAAAAAAGCTGGAGGCTGGCTTCCTCTTGGGACATGCTAGCTCTCAGGTTTCCAGCCTGCTTCAATCCAGAGAGGTGTCACCACACACAAGCAGGACAGGAACACCAAGGGCTGGAACCGTGCTTCACTGCCCTGTAAGCCTGAGGCCACCCCAGCAGGCACAAAAGAGAATTAGAGCTGCTCCGGTTTCACAGCTCCCCTCAGCAGCTGGTCACAGCAGAGAGAGAAACTGAGAGGAAAGGCATCCCCTTTTCACTGCACCAAGCAACATTAATGCCACCCGACAGGAAGGAGGAGACTCTCTCTGCGTGAAGAAGGGAGGAAAAGAGAGGAAATGGAAATGCTCCAGGAGCCACCCACCACCTCTAACTGGTCCTACGCCAACACGTTTGCAGCTATCACTACCCTGGGATGCCCCGGCATTTGCCCTGCTGGCCAGGGCAGTGGCCACGTCTCGCAGTGCTGAAAACTGAAGCCAGCACCAGTGGGTCTCAATTCCACCCCTAAGCTAACACATGGCTCCTTAATGCTCCTTTGCCATGTGTTAATCCTGCAACAGAATGTGGAACAGAAGATTTAAAAAGCTGTGTGATGGGGGAAGGGCAGCCAGAAGATCACCTTACCCGCAGGCTTCTCCATCAGGCCTCCTCAAATTCCCTTTAGGAGCCTGTATTATTAGCTTCAAGGGAGGTTTCCCCCAAACTGGCATTAAAAGAGCACGTGCTCCAGCTGGGGGGAGGGGAGCTGTGATGGGGGGGCACCCTGGAGCTAAGGCAAAGCACACAATCTCTCACTCTGCACAGGAGGGCAATGCCTTACTCCAGGAGGCAAGCTATGCTCCCCAAGGCTCTGATAGGTGGGGGTGCCAGCAAGGTGCACCCCAGGGACTCAAGGGCTGGAGGCTGTTCCTGCAGAAACTGAAAAGGAAGGGAAAGCAATGGGAGAAACCCAAATTAAAGTGACCACCACGTCATGGACCCAGTCCCTATCAGAGTCCAGTGATGTCCCCTTGCTGTGTCCACGCCCACCAGCCTCTGCTCGGTCTACAATGGATCAGGCAGGATAACCCTGGAGACCTCCTCCACGCCCACAGCCAGCCTACCCTTGGGGCCTCCAAATGTTACTGCCATACAACCTTGTCCCTCTTTCGCAGATAGGGAAACTGAGGCATCGAAAACAAATTACAGTGCTTTCCCAAACCTGGTAGAAGTTCACTTCTCTAACCACAATTTTGCACTTTTTTACAGCTTTAGTTCATTTCAGATTTCTCCAGATACACCCATTGCCCTTGCATAGTGAATTTTAAATACAGTTTAAGGAGTGAACTCAAAATGAGATGAGGGCGGTCAGAGCGTCCAGCAGGGCTTTATCTCCCGCAAGCACAGGATGGGTGCTCCCCATTCCAGCTTACCTCCCAACCCCCTCCCCCGGGACGTCCGGGTTCGGCCTCCCCCTCCCCCCAACACGCTTCCACCGCAACCCGAGGGCGGAGCACAGCGGCGCGGCCCGGGGACCCGCGGGCGGGCGGGCTCCCAGGTCCCGGGGCTGAGAGGGGGCGGGGGGCTCGGGGCCCCTCCCCCGGCCGCTCCGGGGGCTGCGGCCGGCCCGCCCAGCCCGGGGGGCCGGGAACTTCTGGCCGCACGGCGCGGCCCCCGCCCCCCCTCGCCCCCGCCCCGCCGCCGGGCGTGTGTGCCGCTCGGGTTTCCCTTTCTTTGCCTCGCCGCGACCCCTGAGGCGGCGGCGGCGGCCACTCACCATATTACAGATGGAGGCGATGTTTCGGACAGTCATTAGTCTAAAGGTTGCAGCGATCCCGCACCGCCATCTTTATAAGGTGAAAACAGGACTGTCCATGGTGGAGCGCTCGCAGGGAGGCCGGGCGGCGGGGAGGCGGCGGCGGCGGCGGCGGCGGGGAGGCGGCCTGGGGTCCGGCTTTCAG